TTTTTCAAAAAGGACCAATTGCAAGCCTTAAAAAAACTCGATAAAAAGAAAAAATTTTAATGTAAAATTCGATGTGTCTTCATATACTCTTTCTGACGGTGAAAGTCACAGCTCTTCATCTTATTTCTATCAAAAGTTATTTAAAAAATGTTTACTAGCCTTTTTTTGAATGAGTATTAGTAACAAACTGTTAGTTTCAACATATTCTTTCCGTTGGTATATGATTCCTTGGAGTTGGCTAAGAAAATTACATCTGGGTCGATTTGACCTCTTTTATGCGTCTCTCTTCTTTTTAATTATTCCGAAAAAAAGTTAAATTCATCTTGTTGTTTTTTTTTCTCAATATCAATCTTAATGGAACGCTGTCAATAAATGTTAAGCATGCATATCAACTAATTTGATTTTATGAAAGAAAATTCTTCAACACTCTATAATTGACATCATTAATCACTGATGTACTGACAATATTATCATTATAGTGCGAAGTGTGAATGTAAAAACATGCAGCGGCGGAAATGATGCACAAAAGAAGTTAAGTAGTTGTAAATAAATTAAATAAATAAATATAGATATATTTGCAATTAATCTTTCGTTAATTTTAGCACATTAATCATTCTATATTTTAAATCTTAAATAATTGAATAAAATTTTAAAAATAAAGAAAATGACCATCTATCATTGTAAATTTATGACAGAAATTCTTTTTCTAATATAACTTGTTCTTTTATTTAAAAAAGAAAAACCGTGACAGTTATTTTTTTTTGACAATTGCAAATACCACCTGATTTCTTAAAGCAATGCATCATTTCAATCATAGAAAAAGAAACAATACGTCCTTGTATACCTCAGCAGTTGGTGCCTCTTTTTTCTCATAATATGCAAATGAATTATGCGCGCTCGATGCATCTTCAATCATCATCATCAATACAGCAGTAACCAAATAGTATATTTCTTTTTCTTGTTACACACACTATATGGAATTTATTTTCTCAAATTTATACCACTAGTCACGTACTACAGTCAAGAAGAAGAAGACAGATATGGCTCATTACTAGATAAGCATCATTTTTCAATAATAAACAAATTGTCAAATAATATGAACATCTTCGAAAGAACGATTAGTCAATTTCTTGTTTGAATAATGAACTTATCTTTATATTGATCTACAGATATTTAATGAAGAAGAAAAAAAAATGCAAGAGAAAAATGATGATTTGATTTTTTATTGGTGGAAAATTGAAATAACATAAGAGCAATACCAACTATATAAGTATCTGATCATTTCGATAACTATCAATTGAATATTTTCTTATAGGAAGCATCAATGAAGGTTAATCGTCGAACAGGTTCACATTTGTTTGCTGATGTTTTTTAGTAAACTAAAATAAGCAAGCATTTGCGTATCTGCACGACATTAGCCGAATAGACGACGATAATTATTAAAATTTAAAACACAAGCAAAGTATCTAAGATAGAATGATTTTCAAGACATAGGCTCATTACTTGTAAACTGAACGAGTCGTATATACACGTATATATATATTCAATTGCCAGGTTTTTAGCCCTCTTGCGAGAATCGATACGAATCGATGATACTTATTACTGTTTATTATTAATTCAAGATTTTACTTTTTGTTAGTGTTAAATTTTTCAGAATTTACGGATTTGCTATTTCTTCATTTTCACGAATTTCTACCGAATTGATATTCTAACGGAGAAAACATTATAAAAGAGCATAATTTTCATAGGAATTGAAAATCTTTATTCGTAGATAAGTTTAAGACAAGCAAAATTGTGAAACTACTGACTGAAAAATTTTGAAAAATCAGGTTGCAAAGATGTTTTGATCATTGCTCTGTATTAAATTTTCATCATAATAAAACAAACGTGAAAATGTTAACTATGTTGATCTTTTTCATTCTTCAGATTTTGTTGTTTCAAACAAAAATAACAAGAGTTCATATCGATCCGATAAAAGGTTATTGAGAAATGAGTATCAACATTTTTTCAAATACTTTTGCAAGGCTTATTATATTAAGAAAGATCAGTACTCATGTATTAGTTTATTGAGTTAAAAATCAATGTCAAAAGAAACTTTAATTATCAACAAAAATGTTTGCCAATGGCTCATTGATTGTTGATGATTTATTTCCTTATTAATTTATTTTAACGAACTTCCGCTTAGCACTAAATAACAACAAATTTTGAACTCTATAGGTTTTAGTATGGATAAGAATCTTTAACTGAACTATTATGTACTATTTTTTCAATTTTCTTCATCGTTGTGGTTATTACTTTTACAACAATACAATTTTTCAAAATTTATCTATTGTTCGTTAGCATAAAGAAACACTAACTTCAATTTTATTCTTTTTTAATATCATTTTTCAATTGTTTCCGATATTATAATGTTCATGCTCTCTTAATTTCTCTTTCAATACATTACACATATTTTCTATCGATCAAACATCCATAGTTTTACAGCACAATTTTCAGATTCAATTCTAATGATAAAACATATATGACAGCATCGAAAACTGCATGCAGCCTTTATTTAGAATTTTGATCATCTTGAAAAATTATATTTCGTAAATCACCTACTAATTCTTTAGCTATTTTTTTTTCTATTGTATATTTTTATATCTCTTCCATCGACGTGTGCTGAAGTTAATATATTTATGTTTGCGAAAAAAATATTTTTTTTAGTTTCAGCATGTGTTTATCAAAGAGGTCGTAGGATTAATATTTGCCTGTTGCATGTTATCAGCTTAAGTTATTTGAAAATTGATAATATAATGCATGAGAATGTTAAGATATATTTTCACCCATAGTAGAAGCTATAGATTTCAAACTTTGTAGATATTTACTAATAAGTAAATACAATACTGAGCAAATGTTTCGAGAAGTTTGGTTTTGTTTAATGCAACAATGATGAATTTTAAATCCGTTCTAGAACTGCTGAGAGATCTCTTATTCATCATATTGAATTTGTACATCAAAATACTCACTCAATTCGAAAGTCATAAGCTTTACCAATGTAATCGTTTCTTATTCATAATTAAGTTGCTCAAACCTAAATGTTGTTTTCATTTTTTCTATGAATGGCGTTAATTTGGTCGAAAAAAAGAGTGTGACCGTCCGTGTGGACTGCGCATTTGGATATCTGTCTTCTATTCACATCATACCCTTAATCTTATCAGAGTCACTTAATGACATCTGAAACATTTTCGACATTTTTTTTCTTGTTCATCAGCTTGATAATACCTTTTTTATTATCAGGAGACACTTTTTCGCTGTTATATCATCTAAATAATCATATCGTTTGATCATTTTCTTTTTCGACTCCGTCAGGTTATTAATAAAAACCGACTTGCATCTATTAATATTTTGCTTGTTCAAGGGCTTGTTAAGAAACACGTTGATTTATTTAATAAGCTGTTTTTTTCCTGACAGTGATGATGACTTTCAACGATTTCTTCCTTTCTGAAAAAGCACATGATTACTATTGAAGTTCGTCATCTATCAGTACCTTATTATCAACATAAATGGAAATTCTTACATATTGAAACAAAGCTAAAAGATAGCAAGTCAATTGAAAGGAAGTAAATGAGCAAGTTACAGTTGTTTTTTTCACATTTAATAATGTAGACGAGATGTTAATATAAATGAATCTGATAGAAAAAAAAGAAATGGAAAATTATCCATGCAAAAAAAAATCTGAGCGCGGGTTTAACATTTAAAGAACAGAGCTTCACTTCTTGCACATCTGGAAAATCCATCAGATCTCCTTGAAATGCAAGCATAAACAAAAAAAAATGGAATAATTGAATAACAATGAATAATAATAGAAAAAACAATGTTTGAATAGATATTTAAGTGTTCAGTAGATATCACAAGATAAATTTCAAGAAACATCTTTGGTATCTATGCTGTTGCTGATGGCGTTGCTGTTGTAGTATTCAATAACGCCTTTTCCTGCTCGCTGTTCTGATATAGCGACTTCTCGTTTATTTTGCGCTAAAGAAAAAAATAAAATTATAGCCATAGAAAAAAATGAACATTTTTCTTTATAAATAAATTGAATGCTCAGTATTTTTTCGTAGACGCTCAGTATAATTTGTTCAGTACTATATACAAACTGTCAGTATAAAACTTAGTAGTCAGTAAGTATTATGTTTGCTTAGTTAACTAATTGTTTACTCAGTAAATTAATCATTTTTTTCAATGTTAAAATAAAAATATCAGTAATCATTTTTATCTTTTCGATGAAAATATTTCGATGTAAATAGAAGAATGGTTTTCGAAGTTGACTAATGATGATATCAGCAATCGAAAGGATTTCCTATAATATAATACATGTCTCTTCTGCTTTTCTTCGTTTTAAAGTGGTTTCCAAACGTTCTTTTCTCTTCATATCGTTCAAGTATTCTTTCCTCTCATCATGTTTTCTTTCAGGTCTTAATAAGTTTTTTTTTTACTTAGTTCGTTCAGATATATCTAGCTGTCGTTCGGAAAATAAAATATATGATTTAGTATTGACTTGTTAGATCGATCACCTGTTAACATTATTATATCTAAGTTTAGTTTAAAAGATAGCAATGGTGATGGAAATAAATGAAGTATCAAGCTCAGAAAACGAAATTAAGGTATAAGAAATGGTTTTTAATAAAGCTGAAGAGGTAGTAATAAAAGGCATTATGGATGCAATAAACTTCTGTTAATTGTGATAATACTAGTTTTACTGATATAAATTAATAAAACATTGAACAAAAATAATATTAAATACTGAGTCTTTTTGAATTAATAACTAAGCTTGTCAAATTATTTGTTGTGCTAAAACTAGGTTTTTACTGAGCAAAAACTACTGAGCGTGTGATAAATGAAATATACTGAACATTCATTATAAAATATCGAGCAATAAAATACAAGCCTTTGTCTTTCAGTTCTAATGTACGATGCTATATTTTTATGAATGAGAAAGTTTTTTTTTTTTTGTTAGTTTAATATTGATTTTTTCTTAATTTTCTTACTCGTTTATTCCAGAAGAATAATTCAATCACAGCAATAACAGCAATAACTGAGCATAATCCCACAATAATATAACCTAATTTAAGTGTTTGATGGACACTTTCACCTTTTCGAAGAATACCAAGAGCTTTTTTTAAAGTTTTCGTGGTTGCCTCATTAAGTGCTATTGTCTAAAAGCAAAACAAAAGTAGAAAAGAAAACAAAAAGATTTTATTTACTTGATCAATCCACACCATTGGAATAAAACGAGTCACAGCACGACTGTTAGTTGTTCTAAAATCGATTGATAATATTGTACTAGAAATTTTTTATTTTCTTAAATCATACTCAGTTGTGCCCATCTCATTAATTTTAATACGATCAATCCAAGCATTCGTATTTAATTGAATACGTAACTGAGCTTTAATTGGTGTACCAGTAAGGGGTTCAAAATAAATTGTTGATTCATGTTTATGAAAATCAGGATTAAAGGCAACATTAGTTGATGATGAATTATGACCATACATATGAGGCTTTGTTAGAAAAACAGTTTTTTCAGGAATTTCAGCTAAAGAAAATTTATTTAAAAACATTAAAATTTAATAGAATTATACTGTAAATACTTAATTTGTCTCTCATCGATATTAGACTTACCTGTTGGATAGAAGTTTTTAATGAAAAAAAAAAACCCGACATGACAAAATAGTTCACATATGAAAATCATAACATAAAACGAATGTTTGTCAAATATCTTTATTGAACGTTAAATTGATTTGAAACAGACTGTTAATTACAGTCGACAATTAAAGTTTAGATGTATGACAGAACCTATTGGGTTCAAAATGTTCGGTGCGGGACCCAGTCGAGCTGTAGTTTGAATAATCTCAATGAAATTTTATAATCGAAATTTGGCAGTCGCGTAGAAGATACGAAACACCTTTTCTTAGATTTTTTGTATTCGGTGACTAGCGCACCCTACACATTTCTCAGACGACTAAAGCCTGTTCTGTCTGAAATGTTCGGATCCTGACTGGAACCGGATTGAGTCCGAAATTAAGTCAACAGGCTGTAATATATGAGCTATTTGAGGCAAAGCAGGACATACGTTTCATTTGACCTTGATTCTTTATAAGGATTGTTTTTCTGAATAAGATCTTTTACTATAGACACATGTAGATTTGTGGACTCTTTCAGTTGAATATTAATTAAAAAGTAATTAGCAAATATCTCTATAACAATACGAGAAATGGTTCGAAAATTTCAGAATAGACTCTACTATGATACGAATCGCTTCTTAGGCGAGACTTTCAGCAAGATCGAACTCCATAAAACTAGTTTTCTAGAGATTCCCTATAAAGTTCCGAAATAAAAATTTTTGTCTTACCAAGAGAGATTTTTACCGTTTGTAATTAGTTTTGAATGTCTCATTCGGTTATAAGAGCATTTTCTTTTGGAGTCTGTCATGCCATGAACGAAAAGTAAATCGAATTTTTTAAAATGTTTAACCATGCTAAGAAAAAAACTTTTCATAGAGGCTTTGTAGTCTCAGAAGTTGTCTACACAATGAACTATTTATATTCTAAAGCTCCTGCATCAATTCAGAAGTATTTCGAGATACACGTGTTCTAATTTTGTGAAGTCATGCCGCTAATGATTTCGCACTTGTTTGTACCTAGTAACTATTGCCTTTTTGCTTACTTTACATACCAGAAAGACAACTGGTGATATCAAGTTTATCCGCTTCCGGACAACTTTCATCCATTTCTGGACATTTGTTAAAATCAACTAGTTTTAAAACATATTCATGTAATTGATTAAAACCAAATTTCGATATGGTTCGATTGTATCGAAGTTGTACTGGTCTATAAATATAAATAAAATTACAAAAATTTTTAATTTTAAAAATTTTTCTTACCGACAAAAATCTGGTTGAAATACATTAATTACTTTTCGATTTGGTGGATTACCCACAGGTGGAAATGTTACACCATCTAAAACAATTAAAATTCATCGAAATTTTTTTCATAGAAAATTTACTAACCAAAAAAATCTGTTTCCCATGTACTAGCGTCGGTTTTATATGGTGTGCTGCAAGAAAGCAAAAATCAAGTAGACATATCTCTATCTTTCAAATCATTTTTACTATTCAGATGCAAAATCAACGACTTGTCCTTTCATAGATGAATTATCAATACCAGTATGAATTGTATAATTAAATCCATTACTTCCGTTATACTAAATAAAAAACAACAAAAACCAACTTTAAAATTACATTCTTGTCTAATAATGGATGATCGAAAAAGTTCTAGGCAAGATATTTATTCACCTTTGACACGCTACAATGTATTTCTGACAAGTCAAAAATTGTAAGTTAGAAACCTTGTTTTGCTCTTTCGACAAGGCGTCTCAATTTTCGTTTTTTTTAATACCCATTTTTGAAAAGTCGACAATCATTTTACGTTGAAAGAAATCCTTGAAAAAATGTTTCTATAAAAGATACAGCTTAGTTCAATCTCACATTTTGCAGAAGTATCTTCGCTCTAGAAAATGACTGACTTTAACAATTATTAGCATTTTCGAAAAGGAACTAATAGGGTAAACGAAAAACCTTGTTAGATCACCGTTAAAAAGACTTTTGAGGCCTTTCAAAAAAGTTCCTTACTACTCTTGAACAAAAATAGACCCAACATTTCTAAGCTCATACTCAAATTATAATCATGTGGGCTCGTCTAAAACGCTTTCAAGTAAGCCAAAACGAACAAACATGTTCGCTGACTCACAAGTTCTGTTCAAACTAATTTTTTGCGCTTTTTAAGGATTTTAACTGGGACAAACGGCAGCTATAAAGTTTTGTCGACAGAACAGGATATATATAGGTTTGTCAACAAAGAATTTCTCTATCACATGATGCATGCATTACAAGGTTCTACTGTGTATCATTGAAACGTCAATAAACGGCGCCACATTCATCGCAATTTACCGTAGTCCTTGCTCAAGTAACGCAATCTATCAACATGTCACCGTACTCGGTTGAGTTTGATAATGCATACACTATTAGATAAAGTCTGTCTTTAGAGGGCCACATACATTCTTTTCTGTAGTCAAAATCATCACAAAACTTATAGTCACCTTTCTAAGCCCATATTCGAAAAGAGCACAAAATTCAGCTCCTAACTCATAGCTTTCTAGCGGATCCAAAATGAACAAAAATCTTATCGAAAAACATTGCAATCATCCATTATTTTTACTTACTCGATAAATAAATCCATATTTATCTGTATTTGGTCCTTGCATTCTTGATGATATGGCTGAAAAAATAGCTGATACATAACCTTCTATTTTATCAATAGCTTTTGAATAATTAAAAGCATTATGTCCACCAAGTATATAAAATGCTGAATTAGCAACACGACTAAATTTTGTTCGAAGCATCTACAAAAAATATATGAAAAAAATGAATTTTTTTTTGCCTAATAAAACATACCACACGAAGGATATCAACAAAAGCACCTTCTTGATTAAGTAATTCTTTATCAAATTTTCCTTCACGTGTAAATAAACGTTCAATGGCATAATGAATTTTTTTGTTATCATCTAACCAGTCAATATTATTTTTTTTAACAACAAGTCTGAAAAAAAACAAGAAATATCAATATAATTAGAAGTTTATGAATATTCAATTTACCGATATGTCAATGGTTTTGTTTCTTGAATTTGTATTGTTGGATCATTTTTATCAGTCATTACATCCATATAATTTGTTATATTAAATAAACGATATGCACGTGTTGTTTTTACGGGTGGATCCATCCAACTTTCAAAACCGTCTGACATTGGTGCAAGACGTGTTCTCTATATGAAAATTATTTTGTTTTTTTAATTTCTTTAATCATTAGGAAAAGACTTACTCCACGAACTTTTCCATAAATATAATCTTTTCCAGCAGGCCATTTGAAATTAAACAAAAGTAATGGTCCGAAAATTAATAATACAAGCAATGCTTCCCAAATATAGCGATATGGTACTGAACATATTTTAGCTGTTTTCTGCCGATTTTGTTGTGGACGTATTTCTTCAGGTTGAATAGTTCTATAGAAAATAACTTGGACAATTTAGGCAAAAAAAATAAGAAAACTTAACAACTGACTTTATCTTTACAGATGTTGGTGATTCCATTATCTAGAAAAAAATGAACTTGAAAGTATTTGTTTAGTTAGAAATAATGAAAAAGCCTTCGGATGTAGGAAAAAATGATTTTTTCTTACAAATATGTAAGAAGGTTGCGTAGTAGCATTTGTACGCAAACAAACACTCTTATATTTATAATGACATTGACCATCGATAAAGGCACACTTTTTTTTTATTCCTTCTCATTTGCTTTTATAGACCGTGTGCCTGATTATTTGAAAGTAATGATGTGAAAATGAATTTTGTTTGTACAAAATAGTGTAAGGTTACTCATAGAAAGCACTTACTTTTAACTAGTAAACGGCAAAGAGAATAAAGACTAATATGAATGGTTGCAGCTTGTTCTCATGGACGAGAATAATGATAAAAATGAGAGGAAAAATGGGGACGAAGATACGTATGAAAGATAGAGCATACATGGTCGTCTCGGATGAAGAGTAGCAAGAGAGTGAAATTTTCTTTTTCTCAGTGTCACGCCGCGCATACTAAGACGTGTGATTATGTTTGCAGAAGGCACGCGAGATGTTTTTTTAATGGCATCGCTCGAATTTTATAGGAGCTGATAAAAATTATTTTTTTAAAAAATCGACATATTAAACATAAATATAATTCACAAAGAGAGGATCGATTAGACGTCACGCATTATGAACGTAAAGTTATAAACAGCGAGCGAATAGCTGAGCAGTGTCCTTCTTTTGTTATATTTATACGTTTTTTTTTCTTTTCTTTCTGTTGATATACAAATCCATTCATTCATACACACAGACGCACACACACAGCTATCAATCAACCTACTTGTATCTTGTCTTGTGTAAGACTATTTTTATCTGGAATGTATCAAATTTGTTTGTTGAAATTGAAACCGAAAAAAGCAAAAGCATGAGAAAAACATGTTTTTACTTTTATATAAAATATCCGCGTACATTGATAATAAAAGATGGCACCATATTACAGAAAGTTGTCTAATAAACTATTCAAGAGTAAATTTTATATTTGATACTGAAGTCAAACAAACGAATTCTTTCTTTCACTGTTAAAACACTTTTGAAATGTTTGTTTTAGCAACAAGCATCACTCGTTTTGCATCTACAGATTTTTTTAGTGTTGTGGAGAAACAGAAAATTCAGGTAACGCATCATAAGTACGCTTTGAACTGTCCAGTATACCTAATGTACTACACAACAGATGACTCTTTCGTTCTAAACAGCATGAAAAACATGTATTGTTTTATTTAATAAACATGAGAAACATGAATATGACTTGTACTGAAACTGAAATTAAGGTATTTAAGTTGTTTTGCTTTTTCTAACAAAAAAAAAATATGATGGGATTTTTGATACTTAAAAAGAAACTATATCGAAGTAAGAATGGCAGATATTTTATAGAGTTAAGCTATATGGCAGAATAACTAGAATATCATACATGATTCAATGTGTATTATTTCTTTGTTGCTATTTCTTATTAGAATATATAATAATAAGACGTGTGCATAAAAAACTGAAGGTTTCAAGGTTATGTAGAATGAAGAGTAATTTTCTCTATTTCTCTTAAGTATAGACCCTTGTCTGAGACTCCGTAACTCGACTCTGACAGAATCGGAGTAATGAAGAATTTTTTTTTGGAGTCAATATCAGAATTGCATTAGTAAAACAGTCAAGTATTTTTATTCTTACACAGTAACAAGTTTGTCCTTCGTCTGTCAACTAGTGAACCAAAATACGCTACTTGATAGATTCACATGAAAGTTTGAAGAAAAAAAACGTCAGAATAACATTCTTATTAATGAATAGCACAAGAATGAAGTATATATTGTGGTAAAATAGCATTTTCGAAGTTTCTCATAGTCGAACTCCGACAGAAAATACTGACGAAGTCGAATTCGTATTTCGGGAGTGCAACAGTTGATTATCGATTATTATAAGTAATAAATGTCCTGCTAACTCTAATGGTACTACATGGATGTAATGATGTATTGTAAAATTTGATTGATTGTTTGTACTTATAAGTCATGAGGATGAAGAATTATGCATCAAAAGTAGTCAACTGATCTCTTTATATACGTTTCAACAAGAATTTGAAAAAATGAAAATGAATATTAGTTTTCCCAAAACAAAGCCTCTGAACAATCTAAACCCAAGTTTTTTTATCTCCTGAAATTCTGTTTGAATTGTTTAAAGTGATATAGCAAACAATTTTCTACAATATGAAACGTCTCCCGGTTTTCTGCAATGTTTTTTGGCCGAGATAGATCAATCTTACGGAAAGCACTAAAGTCATTTTGTTTGCTTTCTATAAGATTGATGTATCTCGACCACAGAACATTGTAGAATATTGGAAGACACTTGATTTCGTATAGAACTGTTGGCTCTATCATTCTAGGTAACTCGAACAGAATTCCAGAAGATGAAAAAATTGTTTTTTTCATTCTGCAGAAATCCTATCCTTGAAAAACTAGCAATCATTTTCATCTTCGAAAATTCTTGTTATAAATAAAATTCTCTACACAGATCACTACTCGGATTCTTATTAACGTTTACGGCAGTGAAACATTGCTGAAAACATATGTTGTCAAATAATTTTGCTATTAATGAGGCGTGAGGCAGAACACTTCTGTAGTCGATCACTTGCGCATTCATTCATCATATATTGAGTTTTTTCTACTGCAGTGAACTCTATACTTTATGTGTTGTGGTGACCTAGAGAACAGCGAGTGGCTAGAAAATAGTTAAAATTTGTCAGAGAAATCGATGCCTCGAGATGATACAAATATTTTTGAATCTTCAATATCAGTAAGTTCCGCAGAACAGTTATTTAGCCTCCATCTGCTACACGAGATAATTAAAAGAAGCGAGCTAGTCGTCCTCCAGTCAAGCTTTATGAGTAAGAGCAATAATGAGAACCTTGAGAAGAACAGAATCAACTGTAGGCGAAAATGTTCATCGTTCTTATGCCAATTCAAGTCCTATTGTAGAAATTCGAAATCGCTTTACATCGAGTTTATGAGTGAGTACACTTAAAAAAGCATCGGTTCCTACATAAGTTTTGAAAATCCTTTCCAGAGCTGTTTGATTCAAAGGTGGTGAATTATTAAAACCTCATTTAAACTTATAAATAATACTTAGCCAAGTAATAGCTGTAAGAAACAATTCTATGATTCATAATTTTGATTATATTTAGTACAGATTGGTAAAAAACATTTGGCTAATCAAATTTCGATTTTTTAAAAATAAACAACAAACAAACTTGTGTTGGACAAATTTATCTCACTCTCTACTAATGCATGTGCATTATAATGTTTCTTTCTGCTGCAAGAGAAAACTCCCATTATTCCTTTCATATGATTGGAATAAATTAAATAAAATGACTCATTCGAACAAAAAAATAAGCACGCCATTATTTCAAATTTACCTTTTTCTGTCAATTCTCTTGGAAAAAAAGTAAGAATTCAAACATTTGAAACATTGTTAAACAAAATTATTTTGATTCAATCAACAACTGTCACTTTATATCTTTGAATATATAGAGCAATATAAAAACATCATTGTTAATAGCAAAGAAAAAATGATAACATTATCATGAAATAATAAACATCGGTTGGTTTTAGTCTCATCACAGAGTCAAATCAACATATATAGAAAAAGTAATTTGCAAGATTTTGGTCAGATAAGAAATGTACAAAACACATGTTAACACAGATTTTTTTTAATGGCTTAGGTTGCATTTGCATATTTTATAGAATATTCACGTGCAATTAATTCAAACTGATGTTTGTCTGTTCTATATAATTGAGCTCGAGTTGGATCACATTCATTTGAATCAATATTCGGAATTGCTAGACGTGCCCATACATGTTCTAAAATACTTTTTATTGTCATAGCTGGTGACCAAGATTCTAAGTTAAATAATTCTGACATAAAATTACCATATTCATCAATATTTGGATGCATTGTAGCTCGTTTAAATGTTATTGATTGAGGTGGTTTATACTAAAGACAAAAGAAAAAAAAATCTAATACTTAATTTAAAAAGATTTTTTTATCTTACAGGATACTCTTCAGAAATTTTTAAATGAAGTAAAAAAGTTCCATTTTCATATGGTGTTGACATTGGTCCTGTAATTGCTGCTTCCAGATGTGAGTAGTTATCATCTATTGGATCAATGAATATTATTGGTGAATCTTGAATATTAATTTTTATTTTTTCTAAATCACGTTGAATGCATTTTTCGGTGAAGAAGTACGAGTCACTTTTTGTTGATAACGACGTTGTAACATTACTTTGCATACTCATTATAAATGTTTTCAACTATTCATGTAAAATGAAAGAATACAATACAATAGAAAGCATTCGCGAAATCTCTTATAAGACATATAAATAAGGAGTATGTTTGTTGCGGGTTTTTTCCAATTTTCTTTCTTTGTTGACAGAAAAAAAAAACTTCAGCAAGGAATTTTCCAACTTGTGTGCTTGTTTTAACAACTGTCCAAATAAAATATAATAGGATACTACAAATTCTACTATGAAAATTCGAAAAATCTATTAAATATTAAAAAAAAAGTCCTATTGCATGAATTTTCTTATTAAATAGAAACAGACCATTTACCCAGTTTTACATTTAATGGCCCACTATTTTGTTCTGTTCTTTCGTCATTTAAAGTATTTTTCACGTGCTCTTTTTGTGATATTTGACGTCAAGTTATTTATATATTTTTATTATGTGCACAGATACAAAAAAAGCCTAAACAAAGGAAGTAATCAATGAAAAATGAACATAGTATACTACGTAGAAGATAACGAATTTGTAACAATAGAAGATGATAAGCATTTGGTTTGGTCTTGTTTCATCAACACTTTTTATTCCAGTATTTTGTAAAAAAAAGAACAAATACAACTTCGTTTTGGAAATAGATATTATAATAATAGAATTGAGTACATAATTCAATAGTTCATAAGATAGTAGTAACAAAATATTAGTGCCAAAAATTAGATGCTGTTATCAGACAACATGACCGTATAAATATTTCATAAAAAAAATAAAAACCAAATATTCCAATCAAACCGGATCGAATCGGACAATATTATAAACATTATCAACAAACGAACAATTTGAGAGAGAATCTATTCTTCTGATTGATGTCATCAACCGACAAGAACTCATGAGTGGATTTCCAGAGGACGAGATCCAACCCATGAATTTATAGATCTAACATTTAAAAGATACACTATCTTTACCAATCCATCTGATTATGGATGGGTGTGGACCATACCCACACTTTGGAATAAACGCAAATTTTAACGAATTTCAAAAATTGAATTATTTTTTTTTAACAAATTGCGGAATCAAATTATATTTTACTAAATACAATAATATAATATTAAATTTCATAAATACGTTCTCTTGTTTTAATATTGAAAAATTAAATATATATACGTATTTCAATATCTAATGTTAGCTTATATAGATTTCATTACGATCATCATAAATATTACATTTAAATTAGGACTAAATTTTAATTGAAGTTGCTACTAATTCCTATTAATTTCAATTTAATAATTGTATTTCATTAATCAGTTATCATGTTGAGATTAAGAAGAAATACTAAATTATTATGTGTCATGTTTTATTTTTGGAAATATAAATTGATCAGAGGTTAGTATGAACCAGTCAGATGGACTGATAGAAAAGTATTTTAATCTCAATTAATATAATAGGGTGTGGATGTGAATGTGTATCATGAAAAAGGAACCCGTAAATGCATAAACAATTTTCTCACCAATTCGAGACACAGATACAACATCAGCTGTCAATGGCATGAACGTACAGGGAACTTAATGTCGATACTTCGACCTACAGCTAAGAGTTTCTATTTCTCATCTTTCTCTATTTTGACTCTGGATAGAAAGACGCAAGCATTGCACGAACTAAGTCAGCGGAATCTCTCTGAAAAAGATAATGAACTTGCAGTTAGTCTTCGTGACTACTGACATTGAAGTTGTACCTTAGAAACTGTTTTACATAATTGAAAATTATCTACAAATCATTTTTCTCTCTCCAAAAAGACACCTCTCAATATTTTGTACTACAATGTTAAAGGTTGGGGAGCCCAATATTTAGAAGTAGTGGATCTAGTGTATCAAGTAGATGCATCAATTTGCATTTGTAAAGTTGGAAAATTATGGAGTACTTTTTCTCGACTAAATTTCAATGCTTTTCACCATCAAGATACAAATCGTAGTGAAGGAGTTAGTATAGCAGTAGGGAAACATTTAAAAGCCACTAAAATAGACATAAACACTTGAAAACATTGTTATTGTTGATGTGATCTGTCTTTCTGAGCCCGAACGTGTTATAGGAATCTATTGATCACAGGATCAAAAACATAACCTTGATGATTTATTCGCTTTCATTATAGAAGGAACAATCATAACTGGCTATTTCAATGCGTCATTTCAAGAATGAAACAGTCCATCGCCAGATACACGAGGGATGATTTTGAAAGAATGAATGGAGGAAAACAAACTGACTTATCTTTCTTCCACTTCACACTCCTCTATATGCTTCTTACGCAATATCGATCTCATTTTATCTAATATGGATGGATTAAGTGCAGAAACATTATTTTTTGGAACTAACGATCACTAGCCTACTACGCTCACATGTGAAAACGATGCATTTGATGCAAGTAAATTTTTTCTTCATGTTCGTTGGAAAGTACAGTAGATTTCCCTAATTCTGTCGGAGAAATTTTGTCACTCTTTGTTTTGCCTAGTACGAGACTATTTTACATCCGATTGAGGAAATTTTTTCAAATATGGATTCTCCAGATTCTCCTCTTTCAAATGATATATTATCTGTCTTCTAGTTTTTATATTTTCATGCTACAATTATCGGTCTACGAAAGACAACTCAAGTCGACAGAATTAGGAGGTAGTTCCCNATTCTCCAGATTTAAGTCCTTGTGACTTCTTCTTATTCCCGAAGCTCAAGAATCAGTTACGTGGTATTCGGTTTAACGACGACAACGAAATGTTAACTGCTTTACAACAAGCCATTGACAGTCTCACGAAAGAAGACTTTAAAAACTGTTTCGAAGACTGGTTTATTCGAATCAGTTATGCATTGATACTGAAGGACAGTACTTTGAAAAAATAAATTAAAATCGTCCTCTGAATATTTATCCTAAAGGCTAGTGAAAAAACTTTTGTAATGCCCCACGTGTTACTTACGGCGTTCGGAAGAGTGCTTTCAGCAATGAAGACAGTGTCGAGTGGAGCAGTTGCGATAGCGTAATCATCGGGATCGACGAGAGAAGGATAAATTACCTAAATATTATATGCAGTAGTATATATCAATTTCATTTTTAATCGACAATGACGTAAAACTATTTTTCAAAAAACTTACAATCAAAGAACATAAAATGTTACTCGGTAGATGTTTTGAGGTTTGCACTCAAATTTTAAAAGGTACAGTAACCGTAAGAATATTTCAGTTTGATCAGACGGAGTATATCGAAAAAATGGAAGCAAAAGGTGGAACTATTTTGAACCTTTGTTTTCAGGATCGATATTTATGTCTCATCTTCTCTTCTATCTTCCACTTTTGCAATCTTTCTTCTTTTCTTCCTCAGGAGGACATATTTAAGCGAATACTCTTTCTACAAAAAGATTCTAGTGATGAGATGAAGTGTTCGCATTAAGTGATAACCAGTTAAGGCCCGTTATTATTACACACTTCACTTCACCGGACTAGTGATCTTAATGTGTATCGAAGGAAGCATTGTGCAAAGTTGCGTCCAACACAATTACAACACTACTACAAAAAGTCTATTTTGCTCTAAAACTCAGAACATTTTTTACAAAGTCGTTTTGAGATACATTTCTAAATGTCATTCCTGAATGTTGGACTAATGAAAAAAGAGCATGCCGCTGTCTAAATTTTTTTGTAGAATGTCTTGCGATACTATATTATTGAGTACGTTTTCTCTCTACGACCAGAGATAGCACTTTGTGCCCAAATATCAATGCCTGCATTTCGTATCCATTATGAGTTGTGTGGCTATCGAAATTAACTTTAACGTATTTTTGTTCTTACACATTAACTGTGGGGCAGTATACATATCTGTGAACATTTTCGTCGTGAGAACGTTTACAATTATTTCAAATCTAATATTGTACTGTGCACTATAGGGTTATCTATAGTTATGTGTGAGCTTTCCGCTCCAAGAAACGAGGCCGCATCTGATAGTGCATTTTTCGGTAGTTTTTCAGCATGTCAAAGTTCTATACATGTTTACTTCTCTTTTTATGTTAGAATTTATTCATTCTACATCCTTACAAACGAAACGTGAAAATGACACCTCTAGTTTGCGAAGAAGCTACGAAAAAAGCAAGTAGAATTTATTTTATTTTTAACTCAAGGCTCGTTTCTTACTTGTGCATCTCTAATATAAGTTGTTTCATGATCAGGATAAAGTTTGAGTGGAAATTTGCTATCATCGTCACAGGCGTTACTGGATAGCAGCAGAAGAAGTGAGTATTGGAAGACAGTAAAAAATTTGTAAGTCATATAACAATTCACTGCTGAGCAACAATATTTTCACTTTTATTCGATAATGTAGATAATATGCAGCGAAGAAAAAAAATGATAAAGGTGTTCTATGTGTGCATTCAAATGTGACGAGAGAAAATAGAGAGTAAATGTAATGAAAGCAAACAACAATGATAATCGCACATGCGCCTCAAACAAAAATTGCCTGCCTGTGATAATAGAATCGGTGATATTTTGCTAGCAGTGCATTCGAATGTGACGAGAGGGAGAGAATGAAAGAACTAAAAATAACTTCTGTATCCTAACTTCGCTGATGATAAGTGTCAATACAATACTGCATCAACGGCTATCAAGCTTTCTCTCTAAAAAAAAGTCAATTTTCATAGAAAAACATCAAAATGGAAATAAATACATAGGGAACATTATGTCTTCTTATTTGCGAGCCTAAAGTCGAATTTGAAAATCTCTTAAATATAATTCCGGTTTTTTTGTAAGTTTAATTTTATTCAAATTGAAATACAATCTTAAGTTTCAAATTTTCGTTTATCAACTTTCTAAGAAAAATACTGACAAGAATTTTAATATAACTGATGCTTTGAATTATATTTATAAGTTAGCTGCAATTGATAGAGTTCACTAAATATTGAGTCCCACTACCTCAATTTATCGAGTGCGCTAAACTATGGAAGTGGTTCTTGTGTTTTTTTTTTAAATTAACTGCAATTTATTGAGTTCC